GGTGCTCTGAAATATAAATGAAGTTCAGACAATTGTTGTTTAAAACTTTAAAAAAAATCTGTAAAATCAGTTTTTCATGCAAGTATCGGCCGATTTCCCAAAATTAAGGAAATCGGGGCCGATTTATCGGTGCACCCCTAATAAATACCCAAAAGAATTGCGGATGTGAAAAGTTTTTAGATGGCTCAAACATCGGTGACATTGTTGCGCCTGAAGTTGAACACCCAAAATCAGAAACGTTTAAACTGTGATTTTGGAGAAAAAAAAATGTAGATGTCAAAATGCCAGTTCAGACATGTACAGAACAACTTTGCGGGACCTGTTTTAAGCTCTAAAAGATGTTTTAACTGAACTATGTCTGAGTTATAGAGCTCCAAGAGGGATGGGTTTTCTCATGTATTTTGCTAAATGCCCATTGTTCATCATTGTTTGTTATCCCCACAGTTCATTGTGAATTTGTGCACTGCTACCAAAAGTCATAGCACACTGTTATTGATCAAACTGAACGTTTTGATGTGCATCTAACAAGGTTAAGTCAGATCCTCTGGATGGATTCTTCTTTGTTGAAATGTTGAGGAACTGCAACAAACTCGTCTTATGAATAATACCTTCTCGTAGTGAATCAACCAGTTTGTTGGCGACAGCCAAAACTGGTTATTCAAATGCTAAAGGAGGACCATCAGCCTAACAATTGATTGTTAGTGCCGTGATGGCTGCTGGCTGTTCAGAGCGGGCTGATTGATGCAATATCAGCATTGTAAGAGGGTGAAAGTTGAAACCAGCCCCCGTTTAACGCTGGACGAGTTCTCTTCACAAAGATGGCTTCCTTCACTCCTCTCTCAAACCAACATCCCTCTATCAAGAATGTAAACATCTTCTTCCCTGAAAGAGTGACCGTTGGCCTTCAGATGAGCGTAAACGCAGAGACTGGCGGTGGACTCAGGCAGCAGGCCAGTGGTCACTCATTCAAAAGCCAGTCGCGATAAACAATAAATCGATTAACCGCATGATGAATGAAAATTATCAACCTTATTTTCATTTACCGGCTTTATCGTTTCTTCGTGTCTCTCTTTCTGCTGAAGACACGGCTCAGCTCCAGCGCTCTTCACTGACCCGTCCCTTTCTCTTTTTGTTTTAATTGTCCAAAATCACGTTTTTGGATTGTTAAAAGCAGCTAAGCTGAGAATCTAAGTTACGAGCTAAGCTAACAGGCCAAGCTCGGGAATAAACCTCCGTCTTGTTTAGCTCCAAAATTCACAATTGAAACCCGTTCCTCCTTGTAAAAAGTTTTTCTCTGCAAAAAGAAGCTGAGAACTTGTTTACATATATATTTTTTTTATTAAAAACTTTATGCGACAAATGCTATGCTAAAGAACTCAAATCACCGAGCGTCCGCCATGTCTGCCCATGTCACGTCAAGGGCCCTCCCTCCCATTTTTCTTAGACATGCTGCTCAACTATCCATCCTTTTATTCAGTCTTATACTGCCATCAGGTGGTCAAAAAAGGTACTACACTCCAAACAAATCAACGTTTCTAAAATTTGACAATTAATTATTGTTAAATTTCAAACAATATTATCGTTTATGGGCAGCACGGTGGCGCAGTTGGTAGAGCTGCTGCCTCTCAGCGTGCAGGTCCCTGGTTCAAATCCCGGTCCGAGGGCCTTTCTGGGTAGAGTTTGCATGTTCTCTCCGTGCATACGTGGGTTTTCTCCGGGTACTCGGGTTTCCTCCCACAGACCAAAAACATGCATTTTAGGCTGATTGGTAACTCTAAATTGTCCCTAGGTGTGAGTGAGAGGGTGAATGGTTGTTTGTCTCTGTGTCCCTGTGATGGACT